AAGGAGCCATTAGAGGGACAATGGATGAGCCTCAGTGATTAACATAGGAAAGAACTGAGATAAGACCTGAGCAGAGCAGCACTTAGAGAGAAAGAAGAGCTGTGCTGGAAAGGTGAAAGGCAGTGCTGGGATGAAGATCCTGCTGGTTGGTGAGGAAGAAGGGGAAGAAGGTGCCCAAGCAGAAGTTTCCCTGCAACCCATGGTGAGATGGCAGCTGTGCCCCTGCACTCACCGAGGAACGTGGTGGAACATTCCCTGAAGGTGCCAGGAGGAATAAATTTGGCCAGTGGACTTGGATTTTACTGCCAGTGGACTCTGATTATGCAGCTGTGGAAGACCCTGGTGCCAGAGGAGGTGGCTGTTCCTGGAGCAGCCCGTGACTCTGTGGGAAGCCCAGGCTGGAGCAGCTCCGGACCTGGTGGGAAGGACTCGGGAAGGAGAGTTTCGTGGAGAACTCTCTGCCATGGGAGGGACCCCGTGGGGAAGCAGGGAAGGACTGTGAGGAATCCTTCTTCCTGAGGAGGCAGGAGCAGCAGGAACCACCAGCCTGTGAACTGACTCTAAACCCCATCCCCTGTCCCTCTGTGCCGCTGGGGGGAAGGAGGGAGAGAAACCAGGAACAAAGGGATTTGGGCCTGGGAAGAAGGGAGGGGTGGGGTAACATCTGCAAGCCCTGCTGTGAGTGTGTCTGTGTCCTGGGTGTGTGATTAGTGTGAAATTAAATTATTATTTTTTCCCCAAGTTGTCTCTTATGCTCGTGACCTTAATTGGTGAAGATCCCTCCTTGTCCTCTGTCTTGACCCATGAGATTCTAGTTGGCCTTTGAGTGTGTGTGTGGGGGGCAGTTGAGTGAGCAGCCATGGAGCTGGTTCTTTGTTGTTATGTTAGGCCCAAACCACGACAACTATGCAAAAAATCAAAGACAGAAAATAGTCTTCTTACTTATTCCTACCCATTTATAGAAGTGCCCTGTATTTCAAGACGTTTTTGCCTTAATTTTTTGAATCCTGTACAAAAGCTGTGCAAAACCTGAATAATTTGCCTCCTGCCTACTTTGACCAAAGACTAAACTGACAAGCCATTGAACTGATTGACTAAAAAGAAGGTTTTGAGCAGTGTATTTGTCACTCCACTGTTATATCTCTAACAGTGGCTTTTAAAAAGTGATGTGACATATTTATTCTGTGCCATTGATGTTAATTGAAAATATGCTAATGCCAAAAAGTATTCCCTCCCTCCTACAGTTCCAGTGTCAACAGTGCAGAACTACTGCAGTGTCCTCTGGGCAGACTTTTAATAGCTTCCTGACCTAATGGTTAGGAAAACCTACTGTGTGAACCCCATTTATTTGTCTAGTGTCTGAGCAGTGAGTGCCCACAGCCTGTGTCACTGTTTCAATGACCCTGGTCCATGGGATGTGGTTACCATGCTCTGGAGACTGCAATGGAGGGAGCAGACCTGCCTTTACCTTTTGCTGTGCTGTCTTTCAGGGACCTCATAAAACCATGCTTGAGGTCTTAGCATCTGAGGACACCTCATGGAAGAAGGGGCTTACCTGCAGGCACACGTGCAGACAGGACACATTCTGTTGTCTTTTTTTTATAAAAATCTCTCATTTTTAAGATTTTACTGAGCACACTCATCTTTCATAAAAATCAGTCAGAGGAGAAAGCCCATAGCTTATCTCAGAGAACCCTCAGCTCCTAAGAGCAGGCAGGAAAGTCTGTAAAAGCAAATCAGGAATTCCTCCCTTCAACTTCCTTGAGTAACAGACATCTTGAGCATCCCAGAAGGGATTTGTTTGCCATATAAACACTCCTTTCTTTCTGATGAACAATTCAGCTTTTCAGCTGAGAATGCTGAACTGTAAAATCCCTGTAAGTGTCTGCACAGTCTGTGCCCGGTTGTTCTATAGGGACTGATCCAGAGATCCAGGATCACATACTGCAGAACCACCAGCAGACTGAATTATGTCCAGCCCTCTAACAAGCTCCAAGGTGAAGGACATACAGGACATGCAGTCCTTTAGTATTGGTCATCAGAATACACGACTGGATTATCCACACTGGATGTTGTAATTAGTTCATTAAAGTCTCAAAAGCCTTGGAAAGTTAAGATGCTGGAAACTACTGGTGATGAAGATTTGGTGTCATATTTAAGAATGGAGATTTTTAATCTGTCAAAGTTCCTGAAGTAGAATTCACTTGTCTTTGGGATTATTTATTGATCATACTGCTGTTGGTTTTGATGGTGAAGGTGTACTTGTCAGACACAATTTTATTTTAATCAGTTTGGAGTTATTTTCATTCTGTGAGTTTGATTCATTTGCCTGAAGTTCATGGCCTGTAATTTCAATAAATAATTAGGACTGATCACTGGGAATGCTAAAATTTTAACTTCCCTGGAAAACTTCAGTGGGTTCAGTTTTGCCATCTGAGTTTTCAGCCATATTTAATCTTGCAGCTTTCATTAATCTGAGTAACCTGTAACGTACACTGGTATCCAGCATAAGGCCAAGTAAATGCCAGCATTAAGTGATTTGATCCTATCAAGGCTTCTGACTCTGTCAAAATCTTCTGTCTTTAGGAGCCAAGAGTGTTCAGTGGCCCTCCAGACTTCCATAATCTTGCTTTTCTATGATCAAAACTAAGGCCACTTCATGGCTATCCTGCCACTGACTTAAAAGGATCTTGTCTCATTTTCAAACAAGGTCCATTGCATCTGCTGTTCTTAAATGTTTAATGCAGGAGTTGTTGGCAGGTATAACCACTTAGAACTTAGCTATTCCATGACAAATTAGAGAAACGTTTGGAGAAGTTTCCAGGCAGCATCAATACAAGAGTATTTCCTTTGAAATATGGAGGGTATTAGAGGAACAGGTGACACCCATTCTTAGCATTGGGGACATACCCTACATGAAGAATGAGGCTCTTTTTCAGGTTCTATAAAGATGTTTCCATTTGTAAACAGATTGACAACTCTGTATCTGGGTTGTACCCGCAGTGTGTTGTTTTTAAGCAGCCTGGAAATGTGTAATTCTGGAGAAGACCCACACTGCTGGGACACCGGCGCTGAGGCTGCTCTGTATTCAGCAGGTTCCTTTGGCCCCTGATTACATTAAGAGCTTAGGAATGAGGCAGCAGAGACATTGCTGGAGAGGAGAAAAGTGTTTCTCAGAACAGCTGCTCTCTGTGGCAAGGTGTGCTCTCCTTTGCTCATTGCTAGAAAGGTGTTGTGCATCTACACATCTCTTGCAGCCTGTCATGGCTTGGCAAAGCCCAGTTGCAAAGATGTTTCAATTGCTGTCTTCCTTTGTTCTCATGCTCTGTGAGGATAATAAAAATATGCCAGGTTTCCTTATGGGCAGACTGAATTATTGTTTTTCACTGGTAATTTTCTTGTTAATAGAAGAATGATCCCTTATATGGACAAAAGGTCCTTTCCTACTATATCAGACCTTCGCCTTAGTCTGAAGACAATGGTTTTCAATTGTGAGTTGACTTACCAGTAAAGCATTCCTCTTTTCCTGGGCCCAGAGGCTTTGGAAAGTACACAGAGTGTTGAGGATGTGAATTTTTCTGTGAATTACTCGCTCTGATTTCAAGTTATTGCTAAGCCTTGCCACTGAAAATGCAAACAAAGCCATGTCTCCAGGGGACAGGGAATAGACATTGCTGCACATTGTAATCAGCCTCTCTTGAAGATTCATTTAATATCTTGTGTTATGGGTTGAGTTTTTTTTATTATTAAATGCATTATTCATGTAACAAGATTCACAGAGAGAAGCAGCAGAATTGTAATTTCTGGGAAGAGTTCTTCTGAGAGATGGCATTTTCATTATTTAAATCAATGCAGTAGGTCTTGCCTGCATGGGAGGGAGGCATGAAGTGATGGGGCACTGAGCCAGTGAGTTAACACCTCTGAACGGAAATAAAACAATCCATCCAGTAACTTAAGCCCTTTTTGGGTCAGTATGTAGCCATTTGAGATATCATCACACTTTGTAGTTTGTTTTGTTTGGTTGTTTTTTTTTAACTCTGTGTTAGAAGTACTTAAGAAAACAGCAATCAGCTAACACTCAGTGGAAGTTTTCTCTCATAAAAATACTGCTTGTGAGCTGCTTTAGCCACTGCTGTTTTCTAGAGAGTGCTCCCTCAGCTCTCTGTTGAGTTCATCTGCCCAGCCACATGAGAGGACATTTCATTTCAGGGCCTACAGTGTAAGTTCCACGTGTTTATATTGCAGTTCTCTCTTATTTACTTAATCTTAAGTAAACCACTGCACTTAATTAACACAAGCTTGGCCTGTGTTATATTAAGACCTCTCTCACCAGTGATCCCACTGAGATCAGTAGGTGTCCTCAGACAAAACAAAACACAAATAACATCAGTAGAATTTAAGATCAACTTGATAATATTACAGTGGTACAGACTGTAATTGCTGAAGTAACATTGTGTGACCTGCATCTCTTGCAGCACGGTTGATGGGAAGGTTGTTTTTTTAAAGTGAGTATTTAGGTATTTAATTAGTGCATATAATAATTTAATTATGTTAATGAACCAAATAGTAGCATGTTATTTGAGATGTTTCATAAGGAGAGAGATTCTCCTTATTTTGACTGCCCCTCTCTATCCCCATCCAGCCATCTTATCAGCACAGGTGTCCTCTTTTGCCTTCTTCTTGCCCTTCTCTTCTTCCAGAGGATGGGCAGTTACCCAGATCACATCTCTCAGGCAGGTGAGAGTAGAGCTTGCTGGTGTTGGTGAGAACCAGAAGCAACCCACCCCACCACGTGTTGCCCTGTGGGAGCTGTGAGAATTCATCTGCTAGTGCAGATGGGTACCCATCTCCCACAGCAGCAGTCTGGTACCACTGAGGTAAAACCAGAACTGCAGGGAGCCTGAAGTGTGCTCTGTGTATTTTGACACACTGAAGCTACCCAGCAGTGGGGTGCTGGCGTTAATGTCTTTCTCCTTTTCTCTTTTGTTTGTTTGCCCAAGTTTGTCCACTACCTCCAATGGTGAGTCACGGAGACTTCATCTGCCACCCGCGGCCTTGCGAGCGTTACAATCATGGGACGGTGGTGGAGTTTTACTGTGATCCTGGTTACACCCTCACCAATGACTACAAGTACATCACCTGCCAGTACGGAGAGTGGTTCCCTTCCTACCAAGTATACTGTGTCAAAACAGGTAAGGGAGCAGCAATGGCATTACTTCTTCCCTCTTTTTTTTGAGCAGATTTGTTGGTTTGTGACCAACGAACTGGTGAACTTCATCTCTATCTTGGTTAAGTGATGAACATTGATTTTAAGATGCTGTTAAATACAGTATATTTTTAGTTCCACAATCCTGAATTATCCTAAACCATTTCCATTGTTAGCTCTTCAAATGTATTTTTTAACATCTTCTGGATATTCTTATGTGCATATAAGCTAAGGTCATGATTGCATGTATAAAAAGAAGTCAAGGGGAAAATCAAGGTCCATCTCCTGTGGCAGCTTAATGTTAAGGTTGCTTTTGGTATATGACAATGGGTTTGTATGTGTCTCTACAACATACATGTAAAAGATGTCTTGTCCTAACTGGCACTTATGAGTATTGTTGAAGTATTAATACGAAATAATAACGGTAATGATAAAGCACAACTCTTGTGTTGCCTTTTTGTTACAGAACAAACCTGGCCAAATACACAGGAGACCCTCCTGACTACATGGAAAATAGTGGCATTTACTGCTACCAGCATTTTATTAGTACTGCTTCTGGTTATTTTAGCCAGGATGTTCCAGACCAAATTTAAGACGCATTTCCTTCCAAGGTTTGTACCTTTTGAGACTGAGGACCTTGATTCAGTTTTTACATTCACCACTCCGTACTGAGGAGTTGGAGTGACACACAAGCCTTGCAGATACCTTCTTCTGCTCTAAGCAAAAGTCTCTGAGCCACTGGTGTGGAAGAGCATGCCCAGAAACCAGAAGTAGACCTTTCTGCAACTAAGATAAAAGGCAAAATTTGCCAGATTCGCTTTCAGAGTAATTACAGCTCTACTACTGAGAATTGCTGTTCAGCATGTAAAAATAGCTGACAGTATTTTTAAATACGCATTTTCAAGTGCTGGGGGAATTAATTTTTTAACTACTGTAGACTAAGTAATGATAAGTTTTAAGAAAGATTTTCTTTTTCTCTATGGACAAATTTATATTAAAGGTTTCCTTTCCCATCATGAGTATTATTTTCATAACAATTCATAAACATCTCCTACATCTTCCTTTATTTCCATAAAATATCATGCAGCTATGAGCATTTTTCATTGATTCTCACAGCACTCCTCATGAGACAGGTAGGTGAGTATTGTAATTAACTTACATCTGGAAAAACAAAGGCAGACACGCAAAGTTTTAGGCACAGCTAGTACTGTATCTGGACTTGGACTTGTTTCTAATCTACTCGGTTTGCTATGGACCTTCACTATGTGACTCCGCTTCTGTGCTTGCTTTTTCTTGTGTCTTTATTGTATGCCCTATGTCAGTAAATATATGCAGCAGAAAGGACTCGGTGATCTTAACATTAAAGATTTTCTAGTTTAACAGACCTTCCCAATTAATAGAAATGTTGCACTTAACAAAGAAACCAGCTTAGTACTGGTTAAGGAAGCCTTCATCCTTTGAAAGTGAGACCTGAAGAAGGCCACAAATCTGGCCACCAAAGCTCTGTCATATCAGTGCCTGTTTGCATGAGCTGTAAACACTTGTGTTCTCTACCACACATCTTTCCAGGGGTTCAGACACTTTTGACTAGTGACTACATCTGTGACAGTATATCTGTGATACCTACTATGCATGGCACAGCACATGGTGCTCCCTATCTCATCCAAGCACCCGTTTTCCTTCCCTTCTCAAAGCCATGCTTCACATTGCCAATTGCATTTTTTGGATTGTAACAGATTCCACCTGACTGCCAACCTGAGCAGAGTTTTGCAAACCCATGAAGCAAACATTTCTGTGAATGTTAGTGACCCTGTAGCTTCATTTGGCATTATTAGAGAAGTGCTCTATTTAGTTAAATTAAGCAGTTGCTCCAAGGTGCTTCTGACGTGCTCCCGCTGTCTGTGATAACTTGTCTTTGTTTGACGTAGAGGCAACCAGGAGGGCTCCATGGGTGACCCTGACTTTGTGGTGGTGGATGGCATTCCTGTCATGCTGCCTTCCTATGATGAAGCTGTAAGCAGTGGCTTGAATGCTCTGACACCTGGATACTCAGCTACCACAGACCAGGGGCATATCTTGCAGACAGAAGATCAGAATCCTCCTGCTTACCCTGGCCCCACGATTACAGATGTGCTGCCTAGTGAATTTGAGACCTGTGACAGTAGGTTGGGCTCCTCTGAACTGCTCCAAAGTTTGTACCCATCCCTTGTGTGCCAAGCGACAGCGCTTCCCAGTTCTGACAGAACTGATGGATCCCACAGCACTGCCAGGGAAGCTGCATCCATGAGCCTGCGGATCGATATTGCAGATGGTGAGTCTTGCACAGGCGTGATAGGTGAGTCCATAAACAGGGGTGTTTGTCTCTGCTGTTAGAGCAGGAATAAACCCAGCTGACCTGCTCCTACTTTCTCCATGTTTTTGTCCAACATCTTAATTTGGACATTTTTTCAACCATACTACTTCATGGTCATAAAGCCTTCTGTCTGTGCTATGTCATTGCTAACTGTGGTGCAAGGGATTTGAATCCCAGGCCAGCAGGTTTCTCTCCAGACCAGCAGTCTCACCAACAGTGATGTAAATAGCAAAGCCAACCATCATCTTGCCTGTGCTGGTCTGTTCCTCTACCTCAACACTCACAACTCCCTCACATGCCATGACTTTCACAGCAAATAACCAGATTTTCTCTTTAAAATGTAAAACAAATCACATGTTCATACTCAGACAAAACTAGGAGCCTTTATTAACAAACTCATCATGTCTGTGCAAACAGCAAACTGTTCAGCCTGAGGCATGTATGCGTTAAGCTGTGGACAAGGGAGTCACAACATAAGGGGAACATACCCACAGTGCCATGAGTGACCTGCATTTAAATCGACCATGAGCGTGCATTGCTTTCTAGTGGAGCTGTGTTGTGCTGCCTAGTGTGTTAAGGAAACTAGACAGCTTTCCTTGGAGACATTTCAAAGGCATGGCTCTGATTCTGCTCTTCACAGTCACCAAGAACCACTAAGCAGAACAATCTCTATGTGCCTTACTGGTAGTGAGCTGAAGCCCAGGGTCCTACATTGAGGGTGGGTGAAGCTCTGGGTGGAGGAAATCTTCCTGCTTCATAGGGTTGGGGCTAACTTGTAATGACATCGTGAGGGAAAAAGAACAGTTGGAAGGAGGAAGACATTATGATCATGCCAGTAAAAGTCCCTGCCTACTCTGAATGCCAATTCAGTGATTAATGTAGTAGAATGGATGTTTGCATTTAGGATTTTGTGGGCATGACTTGCTTTAGAAAACCTGGGTAGTTTTAGTAGGTTTGTTTCCATAAAGGTGTTAAAGTGTAAGTGGGTCTAGAATTGGCAACACTGTCTGTCTTCTTCATATTTTTGCAACATCCAGTTCTATTTTTGCAGAATTGCTAGGTACTAATACTCTACAAAATTGTATAAGGAAGTTACAGGCAGCAATCAATGCTATTTCTTTTCTTCCCCTAGAGATTCCTTTGATGGAAGAAGACCCTTAGCCTGCACAGAGACATGTCTTCATCACATTGCACTGTTGGGTGACATGAATCATGAAGATTTAGAGATAGAAAAGACTATCTGTGGATTTGGGGAGGGTATTCTCCTACTTACAAATCTTCCACACGATGATGTCACCGTATTGGTATCCACAGCAGGGATAACAACATCAGCATTTGGAACAGCAGCAGTTTTATGAATGAATCCTGGGGATTTGATGAGAGCAGATGTAGAAAAAGAACTGTGGCTTTTTAGAAATAAAATGTATATCTGCATTGCAGAAGTCATATGGTTCTGTAAGAAATACTATTGGATTTTGATACTAACTGCCTCACAAAAGCATGTCAAAGGATGTAAATTTGCTTATAAAGACTGCTTTAAATGATCTATGGACTTCTAGTTTATGAAGAATCCTTACAAGCTTAAAAATATATTAGTACTGAAACACAAAAAAAGAGGAAAGATCCTCTTTGGCTTTCCTATAATAATCAGGAAGCTTTTGATTTAGTGGTTGATGATTTTGTTTCAGACCATGTCTGCAGAAAATATAACAGAAATGATGGGATTCATATATACTTTGATGTATGATAGCATATACATACAAATACATATATATATTTAAAAACTCTTAAAGAGAAAGAAAAGGAAAGATTCTAGGTCACATGATGATGTGGAGATTTTTTTAAAGGTAAGGGAGAATTTATATCATATACAATATTCAACATAAAGTATCGATATTTGTATTTATGCAAGACTTCTGTGAATACATTGCATTTGATAAATCCTGCTATAAGATGAGAGATCTAGAAAATGTTAAAATTATGAAATACGTGCTTAAGAAATGTTGAACAGCCATGCCTCAACTTTTCTTAAGCTCTTACAGATTTCCATACTAGAGTAATCTACAGTCATAGCCCAGAGCACTGCCTTGTCCAGGTACATTGTGGTAGTATTCTGAGCCATTATTGTAGAATACTTTTTTTTCTAAATAAAATTCCATTTCAGATCTTTTGACTTATCTGACTGTGTGTAGTTGGCCTTTTTTTTCCCCCTTTCCTCACTTCTTTCAACAGCTCCTGAAGGCTCAGATGGCAGCAGAACACCTGGGGCAGAGTGCTTTTGGTTAAGCAAAGCACATGAAATGGGTGCAGCAGTGGCATGGTTTCCATAGATGCTACAAAGCTTCTGCAGAGGCTTTCCTCTCCTCTGCATTGCTACACCAGAGTATTGTGCTGAAGCCTGTATGAACAGTTCACCTTTGTGGAGTTACATGCTCTTCATTATTTGTCAGGAAAATTCCTGGCTGTTTCATCTACTTATTCAAAGACCAAACAGATTTTCTCGTCTTATTTCTGGTACTGTGCAAATGAAACATATGTTAAACTGGCAGAGTTTGAAGGAAGAGCTTGCCATATGTTAATGGCAGAGATTTCCATCATGTGGGCTAGGCCAAACCAAAGGGAAAAATGAGACTGACTTCCGATTTTAAATACAAAGTAAACCAATAATCTCTCTATTGCCTTAAACAGAGGATTGCTACAAGTTGCTCTGATATTTTTCATGATGGTTTAATTATTTATTCATATTGCAGTAGCGTGTAGTGGCCCCACTCATGAATCAGGCTAGTAGAATGATAGATATGCTGTAATCATTCAAGAAAATATTTATTAGCATCCTGTCAGCAACTGCATATGACTGCAAGAAGCAAGTGGAGACAAAAAAACTATGCAGTTGAGAGGCAATTATAATAAACTCAATTATTCTGTGGTATCATTGATGAAAATGTAGTGATTTGCATTGAAAGATAAGACATATTGCCCATTATCCTCCATTCTTGCTTATTTAAGATTTGCATTTTTCTTTTGCTGAAATTGTCTCAATTGCAATCATATCTTCAGGTGTATCCCAGAGCTGTATCTATCAGGTATTAGTACTTTCTTTGCTACCCCTTCCTTTTTAGGTCCCATGCCTTCCAGAGGTGTTTGCACAACCAACGGAAGTTCAGGATTGTTGCCCCAGCAAACGAGAAGAAAGCTGAATTGGAAGCTTGCATTGAAGCATGTCTCAAGCCTACAGTCAGTTAAGTGATTTCTATTTCATTATGTTACTGAAAAGTACTGAATTTACTTTAGATGCCCTATAAAATATTATTAAATCTGTCTTTGCTGGTCTTTTAACAGCTTGTGAAATTTGAATCCTTGTTACATTTCTGGACTTCCATTTATTAATTTCTGTTATGAAAGCTTCTGATTAATATTTGGAGCTCTACAGTTCTACAGATTTACACTGCTGTATGTATTGTATTGCAGTCATTTTATTAAGGAAGCCAGTCAGGGTAGCTTAAGAAATTTAAATTTATGGCTTATTAGACCATTTTATTTTTTAAAAGTGCAGAACTGCAAATGTAATAGAAAATATTGATGTAATTATATTGCTTGGTAGTCCTTTGATAGCACCATACTGAATATAACTTGTAAAGGTAAGAGGGAGTTTTTTACCATTTTTTGCTTATGATGCATAAGACTTCCTGAAAGGGTATTTTAGGGGGATTACTTGTGTGGTTGAGTTTGGGGGTTTTGCATGCTTGAATATATGGAAGGAAAGAGAAGACTGTTTCTGCTGCTTGGTGTTTTTTTCCACATAGGGCTTGAATTCTCATGATCTGCCTGCCTCCAGATCAGCACCTGTACCATGACCCAGAAGCTGATGCCCCGGGCTGAGGGCTGTCCCCAGGTGCCCCCCAGCCTGCCCAGCTCCCTGGCCACCCTGCCACGCCAGAGAACCCCGTAGCTCCCTGGCTGAAGACCTTAGGTTAACTTTGAGCACACCCTGAGCCCTGGCAGACAAAACCTTCAGGAGGGTGGATGCTCTTAGGACCCCGAGAAACTAAGAGAGCTGGTAAGATCATGACAGTGTGTTTGCAGTGCAAATGAAACCAGATGGGAGGATGAGCACATCTTATGCAGATCATAAGCTGTTTTTGCTTGAGCTAACTGGATGTAAATAGAAACAAACCCAGAAAAACCTTTGTTGGTTGGTGAGGGGAGAAGCAGCATGTCAGTGAAGATGGACAACCCATGGGCATTCAGCAGAGGGTAGAAAGGGTACATACAGAAAACTCCTGGAAACAAAAAGAAGAACTGGCTTCACACTGACAATATTTTTTAAAAAATGAAAAAGGAAGGAGGAGAAATGAGCAATATGTCAGCCTTCAACACTGACTTATGAATGAGAGATGACCTGCAGAGTGCCAGGGGAAGGGTGGGGATCCAAGGTCTTCCAGCAGCTCTGCAGGGAGTAAATCATAACCTGAGCATGAGTCAACAGGATGTGGCTGTTGTGAAAACGTTAAATGTCAATACTAGATGTTTACAGAGAACTGTACCTTAAAAAAACATATGAAGCAATCCTTCAGCTCCACTCAGCACTAGTGGGATCTCAGCTAGAGCAGTGCATCAAATGTTGAGCAAATTTTTTCCTCTTCAAGGGAAATGTGAAGTAGCTGGAGTGAAGCCAAGCAAAGAGAATCAAGAATTATTACAAGTTTGGAAGAGTCATGTAAGAGATCATATAGTATTCAATGTGAAGACCACAGAGGACACAGAAATTTGGTTTTCTTTAGGAAGCATATTTTGCAAAGAAGAAGGGAATCATCCATTTAAGTAGGACAAGAGTAATAGGCTTAATTGCAGCTTGAGAGAATTAGGTTAGATGTTAGGAAAAACCTTCAAGCCATGGGGATGGTGATAAGCAGGGAGAGAAGGTCTGAGGAAGCTGTCAAAAACCTCTGTTATTTGAGAACAGGCTGCCCAGAGAAATTGTGGAAGCTCTGTCCCTGGAAATGTTCAAGGCCAGGTTGGATGGAGCTCTGAGCAGCCTGATCTAGTGGGAGGAGTCCATGTCCATGCAGGGGGGTTGGAACTAGATGATCTTTAAGGTCTCTTCCAACTCTAACCATTCTATTATTCTATTATATGATTCTATGATTTTAAAAGACTGTTTTAAATAAAGGCCAGGAAAACACTGGGGCTGGAAGCACTACGTGAGCTTTAGGACCCCTTCTCATTCTGTTTCTGTGGGATTTCCAGCTTGTGAGAACTCAACTTGGCTGATGCATCATTTTCCCCATATAGACTAATTCCAAACTGATGGTATGGGGCAAACTTGTCAGCAGTCATCCAAGTCACAGCCAGAAACCCTGTTCCAACAGAGAAGCCTTTCATGTGGCATGGGCTGAACTCCAGTAAAATCCCACGAATTAAACCCTGTTGCAGTAAACTGACACTGATTTCAGAATTTTGTTCTGTGACAAATACAAATTTGGGATTTTCTGGTCTTTGTGTCTCTTAGGCATTTAAATGAATGTAGCCCTTCTAATACTCCCTGCGCATTAGGTGAAGTAAATCCTCTCTAGGCAATTATCTCAAGACACCTATTGAGTTCAAGGGAAAACAGCAGCTCAGGCACTGGAGCACAGAAACCATTGTCAAGTTTATGTAAAACTTGCTTTCTATGCCCCAGAAGCTGCTTGTTCCTCTCTGCATTGTGCTGCAGATGGTAGCACAGCTTATCACATCAGCTGTCAGAGAAGAAGCAGCACAGATGAGAGAAGCACATCTCAAACTCCTGTTCTTGGTCTCCCGTGGATTCCCAAGGAGCACTCGGGGGCAAGAAGAAAGCAAGTTAACACCTGCCTCAAAGCCAAGAACATCACCCATTGTTGATGACATGTCCGGTTCCTTTGACACAATTCCCAAAGGAACTTAGCAAGGCAAAGGGGCTGTCCTGCAGGGCAGGGAAAGCTGCTGCGCGCAGATGTTTTGTAACCCAGGAAAACAGGATTCACCTGATAAAATACACAGACACTTGGAGAAGGAAGAAAAAAACCACATTTTTATAAAATGCAGGGAGTACATGGATAAGCTCTCCACATTCTCCAGTAAGAACAGAATTAGTTATTTTCTTAAAAGAACTGGTTAAGAAGAAAGACAAGTGGCAGGGAAGGAAGTCAGAGCTTCCTGGTTTGGGGTTCCAGCAGTTCTTTCCATCACATCTGCATTTCAATAGTTAGACTGGTTCTGCTTGCAATAAGGGCCTTGGCTTGTTTTGGTTCAATGTACTTTTTCTGTTTTAC